ACCTCTGCTTCGAAGTTGGAATCCATCGCCGTGAAACTGCCTCGTTGTTACTAATCTTCACAGATATTTTTTGCAAGATACGAACGTATCAGAGTCGATCTGGATTGAAGCGCTTTCCATTGTACTGGATCTTACTCATGAACATGGACCAGTTACTAGCAGACAGAGCCGTCTGCGGCTGAGTGATCGAAGTCAAGAAGTAATCTCGAGGTATCAATCGAAGGGTTCGATGAAGATACTTGCTCAGCATCTTTGTTAGAGGGATCCGATCACCGTCTTCAAGAACGAGTTTATAATCGCCCTTGCGTCGTGAGGTCTGCAGCAAATAGCTTCTACCCTCCATATGTTGGCCCTTCGGCATGATTGGAAGCTCGTGCACTTTTACCCGACGACGGTGCTCCTTACTCAAGAGCATATGCCATTCAAGGACGAGATGCCACATACAGAGCTTCACCTCCTTAAGAGTGAGATCTCGATCCATGTCCTCGACACTCAACTGTCTGACCTTGCGAGCGAGCTTCTTTCCGAATGTTTCGACCTCTTCAACTGTCATTTCTGATGTGGTGTCCGAGGTCTTATTCTCAATCTTTCGTTGAGCGGACTCCTTCAGAGCCTTGTTTTCCTTCCGAAACGGCTCATAATAAGTTTGATAAGCCTCCGCATAACCGAGTTTGCGGCAAATAGCAAGAAAAGGGGCTAAGCGAGTACGCCTGCTTCCGGGATTATCATAGCGCTCTAGAACAGCTGCAACGATCTTCTGAGCTTTACTCTTTATCCACGAAGGGTCCTCGGGCAATTTATCTTCGAAAACCATGTTCCATAGAAGCTGAATCCCCTTGAGATACTGCTCTGTGGAACTTTCGGTCCTGATCCCATCAGATAAGACCTTTCGCAGAGCATCCATAGTTATCACCCGTCTACGATGATGCAAGAAAATAATTTTCATATGTCTTCCATCTCGCAACGAGTTATTTCAAAAAGGTCCGTCACAATAAAATGACATCGAAACCTCTCCAAACCGATTATTTTCTTGAAACTGCGTGCGGGGGGCGGAAAATTGTTGAGAAATCTCGAGATTTCTCAACAGAATAACTAGTTATTTAAATGGCACTTGTCACTTTTTGATTGACCTCTCCGCATGCATTTCATACCGTATGCAATCGTAATGCCTGTGCACGTTGAGGTTTTCAAGCCCGCTCGTTGTTGAATGCACTAGGGGGTGTTTTTATTTCTCTGATCTTATCATCATAAGTGCACTAGGCAACCTATATGGAATCCATGAAACCGTGAAGCTTTCGAGTGGTTGCTGCTTACAATTCCAAAGGGAACGATGCCCTTGCTTTGTTAAAAGATACAAGGCTTGAGATCGACGCTAAGAAGGGCCGCGTCTGTCAGGCGGGGGCCCGAGCAGGGTCCCAACTCTTTCGAACTCACAAATGTCAAGGCAAGAAGGTTTCACTTCCGCAGAAGGTGGTAGTAATGATCCAAGAAACGACAAGAGGTTCAACAAACAAGAGGTTTGGTTATTCGATCGAAATCGGTCCGGTCAAGAAATGCAACCGCCCGACAGACTTGCCCTTTCAGGGAACGTTTCAGAGCACGGCGACAAAGATGGAGATTGAAGACATCGAAAGTATGAATTCCTCGAAAAAATCTTTAAAAACGAAAGCCACTCGCAAGCCCAGACAGAAAACCGTCAAAAAGAAGCCCGCTCCAAGAAAGAAAGCAGAATCAGTCGACTCCAATTCCGAGTCACAGTCAGACTCGAACTGATTGCAAAGCGCCCTAGGATCGGCCGTCAGACCTACACACTTGCAAAAACTTTCGAATCCAAAAAACAATATGCAATGGCCCCACGCGGCATTTGATGGATGAAGTTGAATGTCTCGACTTGGAATCAGAGGTTGCCGACAGGTTGATTGAACGAGGACTATGCAACCGTGACCGTATATGAATGGTTATATACACGAGTTATCCCTTAGACGGGCCTGCTATTTCTCCACGATACTTTCTTTCGTCGGCTTGTTGAGCTGAAATCCCCGATACCCCCTGACTGTGTGTCCCGGATTAGCAAACCTCAGCTTGGAGGGCTTGTCCGGACCCTCAAGTCCCTTCTTCTTGCAAGCGTCCGCGAACTTACGATCATTGTGAATCTCGGGTGCGTCTGTATCGCCAAATCTCACGCCGTCGACCAATCTGTCCGGGTTGTTATACGCCTCCATTAGACTGTGTGTGGACTCAAAAGCCTTGATATTCATTGTGCCCTCCTCCTAAAGGAAAGCTGCAAACGGATCGTTTTCCTGCTCCCATGACTGCATGTACGTCCTGCTGCTCTCCGGCATGTCGAGGAGCCTCTTTCCACTTGCGTACCAGTCCTTGGAGCCTTGCACCAAGAACACCAACAGCTTCTCGGGCTCGGCCTTTAAGACGTCTTCCAGTTCGAGGTCGCGGATCCCATGGAATGGGTTGTCGGGGTTGTAGCCTGCTTCGTCCGGATAGAAGAACCGCATTGGGAACACCAGCGTCAAAAGACGTCGTTTAAGCGCTGTCGTCCAGGTCTTCACTCGGGGAGGGTAGTTTGAGCAGAGAATGTGCTGCAGATGAAACCGGAATGGCTATCAGCACACACGGCCTTGACAATCAAGCCGTGGAAATCACTGCAGAGGTCCCATAAACCGGGACCTTTGCAGGCACGCATAACCTATGGCCGGCAATGCTGTCCATGAAGAGGAGGTTTTATCTACAAGATCCCCTTCGTGGACGGCACAGACGGCTTGGACAGCACAGTTGGAAAGCTTTCGAAATATAGATTCGGCCGTGAAGACCTGCATCAAGGCTCTGGACAGGTGTGCTGTCCATCAAGAGGAGATTCCTATCTACAAGATTCCCTTCGTGGACGGCACAGACGGCTTAGACAGCATAGTTGGAAAGCTTTCGAAATATAGATTCGGCCGTGAAGACCTGCATCAAGGCTCTGGACAGGTGTGCTGTCCACCAAGAGGAGATTCTATCTACAAGATCCCCTTCGTGGACGACACAAACGGCTTGGACAGCATAGTTGGAAAGCTTTCGAAATCTAGATTCGGCCGTGCAGACCTGCATCAAGGCTCTGGACAGGTGTGCTGTCCATCAAGAGGAGGTGCTACCTACAAGATCCCCTTCATGGACGGCACAGACGGCTTGGACAGCATTGTTGAAAGCCTTCCAAAAACTAGCTTCGGTCGTGAGGACCCTCGTCGAGAATGCGAAGAGCCCTGGACGGCGTTGTCGTTCATCAAGACAACCTTCGTATATCAAAAAGATTCCCGTCACAAACAGCCAAGGCAACTTGAGCATGGCTATATCAGCTTCGTGCAAAGGGAAGACACGGCTGCGCCAGCATCGGGAACCGAAGACTTACCAGCTGAGTTGTGGCAAACGTGACGTAATCCGAGTAGAGCGCTCTACTCGTGATAGTCGCCTCTCCGGTCAGCCTCTTCAGGTTGGCCTCCGAGAATTCATCCGTATCTTCCGACTCCGCGCACACCGCTATCCGAATGCCTCGTAAACCTGGATAACGAACGTGTATGAATTCAAGGCTTTTGGATATGACACAAGCAAAACGCGTTCATCTAGAGGCACGGCCGTTATGCTTGATAGAAAACTCATTGCGGGGATTCGCTTTGTAAGAGACCCAGCTTCACCTCAAACCGCTGGAAACAAACGGCACGAGTTGATCAACCGTTTTGTTGGATGATCTACTTCAAGCGCTGGCAAACGAAGTTTCCGAACGTTACCGATGGCTCCTATTTTGGGTCAGAGTGTCCCATTCATCTAAAGTTCCAATCCTCATCCGTGTCTGTAAGTTGCTCACCTGCTTCCGCTGGATTTGCAGCACCTTTACCTAGCGGCCGTTGCCCCTTGGACGTCACGAGCATGTCCTTTGAGACGTCTTTGTAGAAGGGACCAATCACACGCTTCAGCAGAGCCAGCAGAAGGCTCTTCCCCGCTCCGCCTTCCCCAATCATCGTCAGCATGACCTGATTGGACGTGTGCCCAGTAATGCCGTATCCAAGGATGCGTTGGAGATAAGCTAACGCCTCCGAGGTGTGCGTGATCTCACGGAGAAACTCGCCCGTCCTGCCCAGGGGCGTGGCAAGCCCGGCCGACGGCCACCAGACGGGAAGCTTGAAAGACCACAAATACTGTGCACAAGACAACAATTCAGAAACTTTTAGGACCAAACCGGACATGGCTGTGCACATAATGCTGTCAGTAGATAAAAAGAGTGCTCCGCTTATGAAAAAGCAGTCATTGCAAGTCCGTCCAAATTTGGACAGACTTCAAATTCAAATACCGCAACCTCACATACCCACCTTCGGATGGTGTGCCATCAAAATCCCGCTCTGCAGCAGTATGACGCCATTCTGTAGAGGGAGCGCATCTCTGTTGGTGTTCAATGCGTCCTCGAATGCGGGCTCCTGGCAGTAACCTTTCAGAGTCGTCATGATCTGGCTCATCTTGGCGTTGAAGTTGAAGTTCACGAGTTTCTCCTTCCTAGACTTTTTCTCCTCCTCCGCTTGCGAACCCTCGCCTTCGGCATCAGATGCAGTCTCCTTCTTGTACGCCTTACTGATCTTGTTGAGCTCCCCGCGGCAGATTTGGCTCGCAATTCGTCCAGCCACGTCCACCACCCAAACCGACCCGTTCCAATAGAACCACTTTTCGTTGCAGAAGACGAGATTGCGGCCCGCGTACGTCTGCAAGCGGTCGATGATCAGCGCCCCTCCTTCATCACCTGAAAGAAACAGTATCGAGCTGTCATTGGCAAGCATTAGGCCAGCGAGTGGCAATCTCACGTCTGTGTTCACACGCCGCAAGCCACTTACCCCAGGAAGCACTTCGTACACGACTACTTGCCAATCATGCATTCAATACTTTGGATTCAAGAACAGTCATTGATTTCTATGCTCTGGATATGTTCAATTTTAAACAATTTGACCAGAATAGGTTATTGGCTCGGGTCTGCAAAACCGCGAGAGTACAACTCGCAAGAGGTTCATGATGGGCACTAGACCTCGTGCACTGGTGACCGGGGTGGCGCGCTGGCCATGCCCTTCAAATTTGAAGTTGTCCACCAGGTGGACAACCTCTGGGTTTTGTAATTTGATAGCGATACTGTTCAAAGCGCGGCTTACCTGCCGAAACAGAGAGGTTCTGCCGCAAAAACCAGAGGGGAAGCAATTCTCGATTCTTGTACAATCGGTCCCGGTCGCTATTCAGCGGGGAAGCATCCGAGAAAGCTGCGGCCACCGGAAACATGAGACGCCCGAGCGTTTTGTTCCGGCAGCCATCGCCGATCTTGCATCGCTGGCTGTGGCACACATATGTGATCTCCGTCCCTCTTCTGAGAAGACCAAAGTTGTTGCTGCTGTGCGGCTGTGCTCCGTCCTCCGCATACGGACAAACTCGCCCCCCCGCATCATTCCGCCAGTGGTACATCACCGCGCCGAGACCAGCAATTGTGCTCGGCTCCGCCTTTGAGAAGACGGAGGAGTTGTCGCCGAAACTGCTGAGCATGCCTCGCATCACCTCGACCACTTCCTGCTGCAGCCCGAGATCTGTCAGGTCCGGCGCCCCGAATCCTGCACTAGCCCTTGCGCTAGGCCCGGCCCCGCTGGAAATCTCTGATGGCCCTCTCGAGCGCTCTCCGGACCCCCTCGACGCTCGCTCGTTCAGAATCTCGATCAACCAATGTGGAAGAGGAGGCAGATTGTGTGCCGGGGGAAGCTCGCCTCCACCATCAACCGTATACCGCGCCGTCTCACCGAGTCGCTCATACGATGACGGCGGGCAAGCGATCATGCCGTTCGAGCTGACGCCCCTCATGTCGACTCCCACCTTCTTCAAAACTTCCTTTCCAGACACCGGATCTCGGACCCTCAGCTCCAGCTTTGCAAAGTGGGTCGGTGTCTCCTCGCCCAGCCCCGACTCGAGGCTTCTTTGATGAGAGAAGTAAAAGTGCACTCCCCCGCTGCCCGTGCGCACTCGAGGAGCATCAAAAGCGCCGTGCTCGGTCTCCCAGATATCCAGCTGCTCCATGCCTCCGTCACTGACGTCAAAGTCAAGCACGACAATGCCGGACGCTGCCGTGTTGATCAGCAGCGTGTTTTGGTAGGGCTGGAAGTAGTGGTCGGTCAGGCAATTTGCTAAGGTAGAGGCCGGCCAATTTCGTGGAGGTATCATTTTCTTCCCTCCCTTCCTTCCCTTTGCCTCGGGGTCCCACTGGGTGCTTGCTGTGAATACCACATAGCCTTTCGCGACCAAGTCGCGAGCGGCAGCTCCCTGCACCAATTGCACACGTCATCAGAATCAAAAACACACAAGCCTGCAACCTAGTCAAGTGAACCCACAGGTCAGGGTCGAATCTAGCCCTCCGAAGACCAATGACGGTGGCGAAGCTTAATTGAAATCGTGAGTTCCTTCCAAAGTGCTGTCCGAGCCGTCCAAGCTGTCCATGAAGAAGATTTCATAGATGAGAGTTCTTCTAGATGGACGGCAGTACTGTTCGCGGCCGGAATTGGCGGGAATCGAAATTGTGAGTTGCTTCCAAAGTGCTGTCCGAGCCGTCCAAGCTGTCCATGAAGACGAATTGGTAGATGAGAGTTTCTCTGGATGGACGGCAGTCCCGTCCGCCGCCGGAATCGAAATCGCGAGCTACTTCTAAAGTGCTGTCCGAGCCGTCCAAGCTGTCAATGAAGGGGATTTTATGAACGAGATTTCCTCTTGATGGACAGCACTGCCGTCCACGGCCGGATTGGAACGTGAGAGACTCCGGAAGTGCTGTCCAAGCCGTCTATGCTGTTCATGAAGACAATTCCTTAGACTCAAACTCCTCTTGATGGACAGGATTGCTGTCCACGGACGGACTGAGAACGTGAGAGACCCCGAAAGTGATGTCCATGCCGTCTATGCTGTCCACGAAGGGGATATTATAAACGAAATGTCCTCTTAATGGACAGCACTGCTGTCCAAGGCCGGATTGAGACGTGAGAGACTCTGGTTGAAGTGCTGTCCAAGCCGTCTATGCTCTTCATGACGACAATTCCACAAACTGAAACCCCTCTCGATGGACAGGACCGCTGTCCACGGGCGGGTTGAGAACGTGAGAGACTCCGAAAGTGCTGTTCAGGCTGACCGTGCTGTCCATGAAAACATTGTGTGAAATATGTTTCCTCTTGATGGACAGCACCGTCCAGGCTGTCCAGGCTATCCAGATGCGGCTGTGTAACGGCACGACTGCGCACCGACTCCTGGCTGCGCG